TATTGTATTTAGAAGTAGAGAGAACTGTGCATGCATGTATGCCCGTACACATGCATGTGTATATATACTGTTATAAATGTATATATCAATAAATGCATATACATATATATTTGTGTGTGTGTTTGTGTTTGTGTGTAGGAGGGGGGGGATGGCAATAAATAAAATTGTGATATAGACCGAAAGAAACGAATTCCGTTTAAAAATACATTATATATATACAAACATATAAATGTGTATATATACAATTTAATACAAAATGTGTAAATATGGAAACTAATCAGAATTAAAAAGAGACCAAGAATCGAAGTAATCTACACTTATATGTCACAGGTAGAATAACTTCATGGCAAGTAAGGGTTGAAAATTTGAATTTCAAATAATAATGAACAGACAGTTGTTGTTATATAAAAAAAAAATGTAATGCATTCTCTTTTATTGATACGGTAAACGATATGACTGGAATTAAAATGGCCATAAATGTCAGAATAAGAATTTTCGAAAATAAGTGTTCCAATCTTTACTTCATATCATATATAGAGGTCAATTATTTAAGAAGCGAGTATTCCCTGCAACTTAAATGAAACTATTTTGTAACTACTAAGGCCTATTTCATTATTTTTATTTTGACTCTCATACTACGGTACTGTTTAGCAGATTATGACATAAACTTTGCTGAATTTCGATTCTGACTTGAGTACAAAAAATAAAAAAAGTCACAGACCGCATGAAAAGTCCTTCGTCTCTGAATTCGGCCAAAGCATTATCTTAACCCATTGCCGCCGGGGATGGCATGTACGTACATGCCATGCCCACTGTGATTCGAATTGTTCGATTGTTTTACACATAGATGGCTACACTAGTACTAAGTCACCAATGAGCCAATTACGAGTACTGCCTGTCTTGCCCGTTCACCCTTTTCATCGATTTACGAAAATATTTAACGTTATCCTAATTTGCTGTTAAAAATAACACCGTCTATATTTATAGCACTAGTAAAAAAACGTTTTTTTTCCGCCAATTCAAGGAAAGGTGAAATCAGGACCAGCAGAGCCATCTATGGACAAAGATATTTCACAAAAATATAAAAAATGAGTACTGCATTTCCCCCATTTTTTGTTAATTTTCCCCGGCGGCAATGGGTTAATAATCTTAGATGAACTTTGTTTTGTACATTTTTTTTTTTATTTATTTATTTTAGGACGCCCACTTTTACCTATGCAATCCAGTGACCGCATAATCAATTCAAGAGGCAAAGGGTATGCGTAACACTCACACAGTTATGAAAGATGTTTTCTTAACAGTCACCTACGAAGCTAGTCCTGTAATGCTTTAGCAAAAGAAAAACTTGTCCTTGTATGACCTTTCTCTGCATCGAAACGGCGGTATATATTGTGCGCCGCCGAGCGAACGGCATCATTCTTCTGAAATTACCAGTCATCATGAACGCTAAGGTAGATGGCCAGTGAATCTTTATGTACGAATAAATTTATACGCCTATAGTCTGTAGAATTTCAGTAATGGAATAGATCAACATAATAAAAAAACATCGCTGTTTTCTTTTCCACAGGTCCTGCTCCTGATGTGTCTTGCAGCCGTTGTTGCTGCGGACAGTTTTGTAAGTATTTATGTGGTTTTATATTAAAAAACAAAACAAAAAACAACAACTCAATAACCCTACTGCACTAAGTGAAAAATGTGGGCAAACTATTTTTTTTTTTTTTTTTTTTTTTTCAGGAATCTGCTGAATCAGGTGAATACAACTTCAACTGGGCTGTCAAACACGATGACTCCGGCAATGACTTCGGCCACCAGGAAGCCCGCAATGGAGACAACACACAGGGGTCCTACTACGTGCAGCTCCCCGACGGTCGCCTGCAGACCGTCAGGTACGTCGTGGACGGCGACAACGGATACGTAGCCGAAGTCAGCTACGAGGGCGAGGCTCGTTACCCCGACTCCAATGAATCAAAGTGAAGAGATTCTGTTGGCCTCTATGTGGAATGAAGTGACCAGGAACGTAAACGAATTAATTATATGTCTGTTAGCTAGATATTCATTTCTCCAGTTCAACGCAAGAATGCTCTAGCACCTGGAATACTGATGAAACAAGGCGTTTCATTGTTTTTTAGGGAATTCTCTAGCAAGGAAATCGATTGCTGTAAAAATATATTATTTATTGTTGCTTCCCAATAGAATGTCTCATTATCAACATGAGGTTATTCATTAAGTCACTACACTTCCATACATTCCTCATATAAAAAAGTAACGAAAATGTTACTGAAATTGGAAATGGGATATCGGCGGCTCAAATATTACTAACATGAAATATTCTGTGAATGTTAACCCATTCGCGCCGGGTAAAAATTAACAAAAAATGGGAAAATGCCGTGCTCATTTTTTATACTTTTTATGAAATTTCTCTACACTAGATGGCTCTGCCTTACCTGATTTCATTTGGCGGGAAAATGTATTTTTACTAGTACAATGAATATCGATGGTTATTTTTATTATAAACATTGTAATTACTATAATGTTAGTAAGCCCAAAATAAGATAACGTATAATATTTTCGTAAATTAAAGAAAAGGGTAAACAGGCGAGCCAGGCAGTACAAGTACAAGTGCAGCCATCTATGTGTAAAAACAGTTAAACAAGTAAACTCACAGTGGGCCCGTCACATATACGTGACATCCGGCGTGAATGGGTTAATTAATATGTAAATGCGTAACTTTTATTACCATACTGAAACCATGAGATAGTTACTACTAAGAGCATGTCTACATGAAATATATAACTTACAATAGGGAGTCTATCAATACTTCAAATATTCGTTTTTGAGTATATATCTACGATTCGGGCGTGCTTTTCTTTCTGTACATACCACCATCTCCACTTCAATATGAGAACCATCAGTTTCGAGTTTCGTTTCCAAAGCAGTGGAAATTCGTGTTTAATATATATGTATATGGGATAAAAGAACCGAAACTTATATATAAGTGTATGTGTGTATATATATATATATATATATATATATATATATATGTATATATATATATATATGTATATATGTATATATGTATATATATATATATATATATATATATATATATATATATACATATATATATATTTATATATATATATATACATATACATATACATATATATATATATATATATATATATATATATATATATATATATATATATGTGTGTGTGTGTGTGTATATATATATATATATATATATATATATATATATATATGTGTGTGTGTGTGTGTGTGTGTGTGTATATATATATATATATATATACATGTGTGTGTGTGTGTGCGTGTATGTATATATATATATACATATATATATGTGTATATATATATACATATATATGTGTGTATATATATATATATATATATATATATATATATATATATATATATATGCATTACTTTCTCTGTAACATAGATGAACTTCATAAACAAGTCGCCCCTTTTCCTCTTTTTCCAAAGTAGTAAGTCCTAAGTTCTCTAGTCTGTCTTCGTAGCTCATATCTCTCAGAGCAGGTGGCTGCTCCTATAAGTTTGTCTGTATCATTTTTTTTTTTTTTTTAATGTGGACTCTGTACCACTGTGCCGTACTCTAGACTAGGCTATAATGATCTTCTTTACCATATTTTCTTCCACATAAACGAATGTATTTTTCATGTTGGCAATCAGCCCTACTGTAGCATTTTATTGTGTTTTTTTTTTCTTCATTTATAGGATCATTTGGGTTTAGGACTATTCCGTGACGATTCCAAAATGTATTTCCCTATCTGTTGCTTTAAAAACTATGTCTTCTAATTTTTATTGGTTTAGAGGACAATTTTTACCTTTTCCGAACCCAACACAAATCTGTCTTTAAATCCCGTAACCGAATTCGAACTCTTTGAGGTAGTAAATCAATTGAACAACTCTGCCCTCGGTTATGATGGCATCACAGCACCAATAATTAAATCCACTTTGCCTGCCATTTCCCGTCCCCTGCTCCACTTGTGCAACATTTCACTTACTACGGGTATATACCCAGACAAACTCAAGACAGCAAAGGTTACTCCAGTTCACAAATCAGGTTGCAAAACCAATATCCATAACTACAGGCCCAGTATCAATTCTGTCCGTAATAAGTAAAATTCTGGAAAAAAATAAATTATATCAGATTGGAAAACTATTCTGTCAGCTTGCCAATTTGGATTTACAAGGAATAAATCAACAGAAATGGCTGTTATGTCATTTACAAACCATATCTACAAGGCCTTTGATAATAACGAATTCACTGTTGCTGTATGTCTAGATTTATCTAAGGCTTTTTCACCCAATTCTGCTCTCAAAACTATCTTATTATGGTATCAGGGGAAATTGTTTCGTTCATATCTGTCAAACAGAAATCAATTTGTTTCATATAATGAATCCAATTCCGATTGCCTTCCATTATCGCATGGTGTACCGCAAGGGTCACTGTTAGGGCCTCTTCTTTTCTTGATCTACATCAATGATTTGGTGAAGACATCCTCGAATCTGGAATTCATCTTATATGCTGATGACAGTAACCTCTATGTTTCAGGTAAAGATATTAATCAACTCATTAGCAACATCAATAGAGAACTCTACACTATCAATAATTTGATTTCTTCAAACAAACTAACGCTAAACATTGTTAAATCCCATTATGTCATATTTAATCGCAATAAGAAACTTCCCCCTACACTTCTGCCGTTAATATTAGAACATAAACCCTTGTCAAGGAAAACCGAAACTAAATTTCTCGGAGTAATCATTGATGACAAATTATCATGGAAAAGTCATACGAACAGTATTCGTCAAAAAATTAATACTGCTGCAACTTACTGCAACACTGTCTGGGGAGCTGTCAGTGAAACCACGCTAAAGCCCGTTATAACTGCCCCAAAACGAGTAATCCGAACAATTGCTGGATTAGGCAAATATAACCATACCAATGAGACATTTTCTGCACTGAAACTATTGAAGCTGAGAGATATGAATACCTACTTCTGTGCTCTCTTCATTTTTAAATGTATCAATATCTACGAAATTAACTTATTCCGGTTCAGAAATGATTTAAGATATCCTCTGCGATCAAACTCACTATTAAAGCACCCAACTATAGGCTCAAACCAATCAAAAACATGTATTTTATATCATGGGGTAAGTTTATGGAATAATCTGCCCTCACATCTCCACAATGCCCCGTCACTGCTGTCACTCAAAAATCGTTGAAGACCCACCTATTATATATGTCAGAGTGAATGCTAATGTTTAGGACAAATGTAAAAAGTAGTTTGAATAAATATATATCCAGGTACATAACAGTGGATATTTTTACATCTGTAGTATTTATTGACAATTCTTTAAACGTTTAAACTATTTCAACATGATAATCTTAAAAGGTATTCGCCGCTAATAATCTGGCTTTAGTCTTAACAAACCCTATTAGTAGGTATGATATTTTTTTTGTGGGTGATATCTATGAATGTGTGCAAATTCACAAGCATATATGTAATTACATAAATGTGGAAGCACATACTTGCACTTCTATAAATGAAATATACATATATAGGTGTGTGTGTGTGTTTGTGTGTGTGTGTGTGAGTGTGAGTTGAAACAAGGAATAATCTCGAAACCTAAAGAATTATATATACTATAGGTAAATTAAAAACAAGACAAATAAGAAGTTAAAATGTCATTTCGTATGGCAATCATTTTCATCATAGCATGATCTGTCAATATATTAGCAATGCTAACACATCAGTTTCTGAGCTTATATTATAGGATTTCTAAATATCGAATGTTGGATGTATAGAAACTATTATGCCAATATTTACTGCGTGTCAGATTTTGAGGTCATTTTTCCTTGGTGTAGACTTCAGTATTTGGATCAATGAAGTATTTACTAAAGTGTGTTCTATTAATGTTATTTTGTCGTTCATATACGGGTGTTGTTTAACAGTGTCTTGGAGGATTTTATGACCTAATGACTATAAGGTTTCGACACAAATTATATGAAAACTTTCGGCAAAAAGCCTATAAAAGATAATCTTAGATGTTTTTGCTTTATGTAAGATGGTTCCGATATTGGACATTTTAAAATCTGTTATTGAGGATGATCAATTCTATTTATACATACCATCAGGTGGCCGCATTATTGAATCGAGAGGTAAAGGATATGCGTAACACTCACACAATTATGAAACATGTTTTCTTAACAATCATCTACACTAGAGAAGCTAGTCCTGTAATGCTTTAGCAAAAGAAAAACTTGTCCTTGTATGACCTTTCTCTGCATCGCAGTGGCGGTATAAATTGTGCGCCGCCGAGCGAACGGCATCAGATCCTTCTGGAACTGCCAGTCATCATGAACGCTAAGGTAGATAGCTAGTGAATCTTTATTTTCGTGCACACTGTGCTTAGGCAGATTATACGCCATAGGGATAAGGCAACTCTTTCCTATAGTTTTTCAGTAATGGAATAGACTAGCATTATTAAAAAACGAAAAAAGTGAATCAATTTCATTCTCTCCGTTATGTTTTTCACAGGTCCTGCTCCTAGTATGTCTTGCAGCCGTTGTTGCTGCGGACAGTTTTGTAAGTATCTATTTCGTCATTTTATACTAAAAAAAAAAAAAAAAAAAAAAAAAAAAAAAAAAACACTGCTGCACAACGTGAAAAATGTGAGCAATCACAAATATCATAAAATGTCCTTTTTCAGGAATCTGCTGAATCAGGTGAATACAACTTCAACTGGGCTGTCAAACACGACGACTCCGGCAATGACTTCGGCCACCAGGAAGCCCGCGATGGAGACAACACACAGGGATTCCTACTACGTGCAGCTCCCCGACGGCCGCCTGCAGACCGTCAGGTACGTCGTGGACGGCGACAACGGATACGTGGCCGAAGTGAACTACGAGGGCGAGGCTCGTTACCCCGACTCCAATGAATCAAAGTGAAGAAAGTCTGTTAGCTCCTACGTGAAATGAAGCGATAAGGAACACACCCGATGTAATAGTCTGTTTAATGCTAATCAGACAGACTAGAATGATCTGATCTGATGTAATTCCCACAAGTCTTTCCATTCTCTTTTAGGGTCTCCTCTAGGAGGGGAACCAAATGCTGTAAAAATGCCTTATTTGTTGTTGCTCTGCAATAAATTGTTTCCTTATTAACAATAGTTATATTTATACACTTTTATACATTTCCTCTCTCCCTACTCACACGTGCTTTGGAATACCTGATGCCCGCGACGCAGAATATATATTTGAATATAAACACAGTTTTGCTAAAATTGATCATATATTGACAGATATGTTACGTGCATAACACATACTGCAAATGCTCATAGATAAGTAAATTTATTAACTTATTTCCTGGGATTGCAAGAAACTATTAACTAATCATTTTTATCTTTTCCGAACCCAACTACACGGCATTTATTGGTAAATAAGTTTTCGATGTCACTTTAGTGATAGTGGCGTGAGACATAATCTATTATCGTTTTTGGTATTTTCTCGTCGTCAGCAAACATATTCAGAGAACTACCTGGGCTTCTGTTTGACTCTAAATCATTCATGAAAATAGTAGACATGATAGGCGCCAATATCGATCATTAAGATACTCAGCTATTTACTCGTCTCCATGTAGAGTGCCTTCCTATAATTATGGAATCCATCTCTCTTTCATTGAAGGAGGTGTTTCATCCTTTCGAAGAGCTTGCCTTTTACTCCAAATAGGTGTTCTAATTTCCATGATAGTCTTGTATGGACACCTTGTCCTTTTAAAGGCTAAGAACACACAATCTACCCAGCACTCTCTTTTTTGTAATATTTCAGAAACTCTGTCATAAAAACAGATTTGCTACACACGACTCTCCTTTCTGAAAACCAATTTGCTCAGTGGATATCATTTCGTGTTTTTCAAGTACTTCAACCCACCGTTTCCTAATCATCCTTTCTAACAGCTATTGTACTAGTTAACTAAACTAGTCATAATTTAGACGGTATTGTTTGTAACCTCTCTTATATAAAGGTGTAACGTTGGCGAGTTTCCAAGTTTCTGTAGTATTTATTGACAATTTTGTAAACGTTTAAACTATTTCAACATGATAATCCCAAAAGGTATTCGCTGCTAATAACTCTGCGGCAGATAATTTTAAATAATCAGTCATTGTCTTATTTCATTGTCTCACAGATTTTTGGAATATTAAAAATAAAGGCGTATATAGTGTTTTTTTACTTTCCTCTAGCACCCGGCTAGAAATTTCATCTGGTATAAATGAAATATACATATATAGAAGTGTTTGTGTATGTGAGTGTGTGTGTGTGTGTGTGTGTGTGTGTGTGTGTGTGTGTGTGTGTGTGTGTGTATGTGTATGTGTGTGTGTGTGTGTGAATGTGAGTTGAAGCCAGGAATAATCTCAAAAACTAAAGTATTATATATACTTTAGGTAAATTAGAAACAAGACAAATAAGATGTTAAAATGTAATTTCGTATGATAATAATCATTTTCATCACAATATGACCTGTCAGTATATTAGTAATGCTAATACATCATTTTCTGAGGTTATATTATAAGGTTTCTATAAATCGGAACTTGAATGTTTAAAAACTATTATGCCAATATTTACTGCGTGTCAGATTTTGAGGTCAACTTTTTCATAGTGTAGATTTCAGTATTTGGATCAATAAAGTATTTACTAAAGTGGTTTCTATTAATCTTATTTCGTCATTCATATAAGGGTGTTGTTTAACAGCGTTTTTAGAGGATTTTATGACCTAATGAATATAGATTCGACACAAATTGTATGAAAACTTCGTCTTTGAGTTCGGCAAAAAGCCTATAAAAGATAATCTTAGATGTTTTTGCTTTATGTAAGATGGTTCCGATATTGGACATTTTAAAATCTGTTATTGAGGATGCTCAGTTATACTTATACATTCCACCAGATGGCCGCATTATTAATTCGAGAGGTAAATGATATGCGTAACACTCACACAATTATGAAACATGTTTTCTTAACAATCATCTACACTAGAGAAGCTAGTCCTGTAATGCTTTAGCAAAAGAAAAACTTGTCCTTGTATGACCTTTCTCTGCATCGCAGCGGCGGTATAAATTGTGCGCCGCCGAGTGAACGGCATCAGATCCTTCTGGAACTACCAGTCATCATGAACGCTAAGGTAGATAGCTAGTGAATCTTTATTTTCGTGCACACTGTGCTTAGGCAGATTATACGCCGTAGGAGTAAAGCAACTTTTCTATTGTATTTCAGTAATGGAATGGACTAACATTATTAATAAACGAAAAAGTGAACTAATTTCATTCTCTCCGTTGTCTTTTCCACAGGTCCTGCTCCTAGTATGTCTTGCAGCCGTTGTTGCTGCGGACAGTTTTGTAAGTATCTGTTTCGTCATTTAACATTGAAAGAAAAAACAATGCTGCATTAAGTGAAAAATGTGAGCAATCACAAATATCATAAAATGTCCTTTTTCAGGAATCTGCTGAATCAGGTGAATACAACTTCAACTGGGCTGTCAAACACGACGACTCCGGCAATGACTTCGGCCACCAGGAAGCCCGCAATGGAGACAACACACAGGGATCCTACTACGTGCAGCTCCCCGACGGCCGCCTGCAGACCGTCAGGTACGTCGTGGACGGCGACAACGGATACGTGGCCGAAGTGAACTACGAGGGCGAGGCTCGTTACCCCGACTCCAATGAATCAAAATGAAGACAGTCTGTTAGCTCCTACGTGAAAAGAAGCGATAAGAAACACACCCGATGTAATAGTCTGTTTAATGCTAATCAGACAGACTAGAATGATCTGATCTGATGTAATTCCCACAAGTCTTTCCATTCTCTTTTAAGTTCTGCTCTAGGAGGGGAACCAAATGCTGTAAAAATGCCTTATTCATTGTTGCTCTGCAATAAATTGTCTCCTTATTAACAATAGTTATATTTATACACTTTTATACATTTCCTCTCTCCCTACTCACACGTACTTTGGAATACCAGATGTCCGCGACGCAGAATATATATTTGAATATAAACACAGTTTTGCTAAAATTGATCATATATTGACAGATATGTTACGTGCATAACACATACTACAAATGCTCATAGATAAGTAAATTTATTAACTTATTTCCTGGGATTGCAAGAAACTATTAACTAATCATTTTTATCTTTTCCGAACCCAACAACACGGCATTTATTGGTAAATAAGTTTTCGATGTCACTTTAGTGATAGTGGCGTGAGACATAATCTATTATCGTTTTTGGTATTTTCTCGTCGTCAGCAAACATATTCAGAGAACTACCTGGGCTTCTGTTTGACTCTAAATCATTCATGAAAATAGTAGACATGATAGGCGCCAAGATCGATCATTAAGATACTCAGCTATTTACTCGTCTCCATGTAGAGTGCCTTCCTATAATTATGGAATCCATCTCTCTTTCATTGAAGGAAGTGTTTCATCCTTTCGAAGAGCTTGCCTTTTACTCCAAATAGGTGTTCTAATTTCCATGATAGTCTTGTATGGACACCTTGTCCTTTTAAAGGCTAAGAACACACACTCTACCCAGCACTCTCTTTTTTGTAATATTTCAGAAACTGTCATAAAAACAGATTTGCTACACACGACTCTCCTTTCTGAAAACCAATTTGCTCAGTGGATATCATTTCGTGTTTTTCAAGTACTTCAACCCACCGTTTCCTAATCATCCTTTCTAACAGCTTACATACTAGTAAACAAAACTAGTCATAATTTAGACGGTATTGTTTGTAACCTCTCTTATATAAAGGTGTAACGTTGGCGAGTTTTTGTAGTATTTATTGACAATTTTTTAAACGTTTAAACTATTTCAACATGATAATCCCAAAAGGTATTCGCTGCTAATAACTCTGCGACAGATAATTTTAAATAATCAGTCAATGTCTTATTTCATTGTCTCTCAGATTTTTGGAATATTAAAAATAAAGGCGTATATAGTTGTTATTTTTTTACTTTCCCCCAGCACCCTGTTATAAATTTCATCTGGTGCCACTGCTTTAATCTTGACAAACCCTTTTAACTGGTAAGATATTTCTTCTTGTGGGTGATATATATGAATGTGTGCATGTATGCAAATTCACAAACATGCATATAATTACATAAATGTGTTAGTACATACTTGCACTTGTATAAATGAAATATACATATATAGAAGTGTTTGCGTATGTGAGTGTGTGTGTGTGTATGTGTGTGTGTGTATGTGTATGTGTGTGTGTATGTGTGTGTGTATGTGTGAGTGAGTGTGTGTGTGTGTGTGTGTGTGTGTGTGTGTGTGTGTGAGTGTGCGTGTGTGTGTGTGTGCGTGTGTGTGTGTGTCTGTGTGAATGTGAGTTGAAGCAAGGAATAATCTCGAAACCTAAAGTATTATATATATACCATAGGTAAATTAGAAACAAGACAAATAAGATGTTAAAATGTAATTTCGTATGATAATAATCATTTTCATCACAGTATGACCTGTCAGTATATTAGTAATGCTAATACATCAGTTTCTGAGGTTATGTTATAAAGTTTCTAAAAATCGGAAACTATTATGTCAATATTTACTGCGTGTCAGATTTTGAGGTCAACTTTTTCTTAGTGTAGACTTCGTATTTGGATCAATAAAGTATTTACAATTATGAAACATGTTTTCTTAACAATCATCTACACTAGAGAAGCTAGTCCTGTAATGCCTTAGCAAAAGAAAAACTTGTCCTTGTATGACCTTTCTCTGCATCGCAGCGGCGGTATAAATTGTGCGCCGCCGAGCGAACGGCATCAGATCCTTCTGGAACTACCAGTCATCATGAACGCTAAGGTAGATAGCTAGTGAATCTTTATTTTCGTGCACACTGTGCTTAGGCAAATTATACGCCATAGGGATAAAGCAACTCTTTTCTGTAGAATTTTAGTAATAGACTAACATTATTAAAAACGAAAAAAATGAAACAATTTTATTCCCTCCGGTATCTTTTTCACAGGTCCTGCTCCTAGTATGTCTTGCAGCTGTTGTTGCTGCGGACAGTTTTGTAAGTATCTGTTTCGACATTTTATACTGAAATAAGAAAAACACTGCTGCATCACGTGAAAAATGTAAGCAATCACAAATATCATAAAATGTCCTTTTTCAGGAATCTGCTGAATCAGGTGAATACAACTTCAACTGGGCCGTCAAACACGACGACTCCGGCAATGACTTCGGCCACCAGGAAGCCCGCAATGGAGACAACACACAGGGGTCCTACTACGTGCAGCTCCCCGACGGCCGCCTGCAGACCGTCAGGTACGTCGTGGACGGCGACAACGGATACGTGGCCGAAGTGAACTACGAGGGCGAGGCTCGTTACCCCGACTCCAATGAATCAAAGTGAAGAGAATCTGTTAACTCCTACGTGAAATGAAGCGATAAGAAACACACCCGATGTAATAGTCTGTTTAATGCTAATCAGACAGACTAGAATTATTTGATCTGATGTAATTCCCATAAGTCTTTCCATTCTCTTTTAGGGTCTCCTCTAGGAGGGGAACCAAATGCTGTAAAAATGCCTTATTTATTGTTGCTCTGCAATAAATTGTCTCCTTACCAACAATAGTTACATTTATACACTTTTGTACATTTTCCCTCTCCCTGCTCATACGTGCTTTGGAATACCAAGTGCCCGCGACGCAGAATATATATTATAATGTAAACACAGTTTTGCTAAAATTGATCATTTATCGACGGAAATGTTACGTGCGTAACATATCCTGCAAATGCTCATAGATAAGCAGATTTATTAATTTAAATTGCGATGACAAGTTTACAAATCTAATGGGCATAGATATTCTAAATTGCATAGAAAATTCTTAAAAGCATATAATCTTTACAGGGGAATCCACCAATAATTCATATATTTGACTCAAAGTATAGATAATAAATAATTTGTGTCTAGATTTCATTCTGTACTTAAAGTCCACCCACCTTTAGTTCACGACTTTGCCTTGTGAAGTGAAGTGTGAAGTGTCAGTATTGGTTCTTGAAACCAAAATACTTTAAATACGAGCAGAAGCCATGTGTATCGGATACAATAGTCAAAACGTGTGAGTGGGACAGTGAGTTGATTACTTGGAGGAGGAGGGGATTGTGCATTATTCTCTCTCAATTTCTTTATCCATTTCTTTTTCATTCTCTCGCTCTCTCAACATACACACACACACACATATATATATATACATATATAGATAGATAGATAGATAGATAGATAGATAGATAGATAGATATAGATATAGATAGATATATAAATGTATATTGTCAGGGGTTCTTTTGATTAATAAAGTATGACCCTTGGGTGTAGCCGCTGTTATCAACATCGGCATGGCGTAGCTGCTGGCTTCAGCACCACGCGTATATCATCCCCTCTAGGACTTGGTTGACGGTTTCCTCATGGGTTGCGATAAGGATAATGCCATGGCCGTGTTCCTCCATGTGTTTGTATGTACTGAATTAGGCCTTGTCCCTAGTGTTGACGTATAAATGAAGGAAGGGCGTCTCACGAAAGGGGGGCCATCACAGGTTATAGAACAGTTTGAGAGTGAATACTGGCTCGACAACACGTACATAAGGACTGATCTGTGGACTTCTGTTAAAGGCCTTGACTGTTCCCGCTATGCGTATGTATCATACACATTCATGTATAGATATACATTAGTGTCAGTGTATGTTGTTGCTTACCTAAAGCAGTAGGGTATAATGACATTCTTAGCAAACAGTAAAATGTATGTATGTATTATAACTACTGATATGATCTTGTTAGTGAATCTAAGTCGAATTGTAACAGCAATTATGATTATTATTGCATGATTGATATTGTATTGATTATGTATTGATTACAGGTTTGACCGCATTCAAATAAATTGAGAAGCGAGTACGACGCAGTGGTATCAGTCACCTCGAGTTAACGCAAATAATCTAAGCGCGTGAAATGGCGCTTACATTGGGTGATTAAACGAGTCGAGGAGAAGATATATGTTTGTTGTTTAAGATATATTCACAAATATATGCAGAAAGTGTAATATTGAAACACAGGGGCAGCTGTAATTCCCTAGAGCAGCCGTAATACACCGACACAGCCGTAATACACCAGGACAGAAATTGGAGGCCGTAACAACACAGAAATATCATATATATTCACAACCACACGATAAAAAAACAACAACTGTTTAACATCTACGGAATTAAATACACGAATTAAATATATACAAAATATCAGAAGATATATATAATACTACTTACACAGGTGCACAGGTGTGGAGATCGGAGTCAAATAGTCGTACTCGGTACTCGCCGACCACGACTACGAATGTTATGAAGGTGTCGGATTTGTGGTTCGGCAGAGGCAGTGAAATGGCTCACTCAGTCCAACCACACACACACACACACACACACACACACATATATATATATATATATATATATATATATATATATATATATATATATGAAATATATCTATCTATCTATGTGTGTGTGTCTGTATATATATATATATATATGTATATATACATATATATATTTGAAATATATATGTACATGAAATATGTGTATATATATAATATATATATATATATATATATATATATATATATATATATATATATATATATATATATATGAAATATATCTATGTGTGTGTGTGTATTCATACAAAAATACATAATATATATATGTGTCTGTATGTGTGCGTACATGTACATATATATATATATATATATATATATATATATATATATATATATATATATATATAACATACAGTATATATATATATATATATATATATATATATATATATATAAATGTAAATATATATATATATATATATATATATATATACGCACATATATGTACGTACATATATACAAATATATAAATAAA